ACAACCCTGGACTAGATACAGAGTATTTGGCCACCAGGAGCCAGGAAAGCCAGGCTGGGAGCCAAGGGAAACTGTGCTAGAGGACAGAAGGAAGCCATTACCAGGACAGCTTGGTTAACTCATGAGCAAAGCATTTAGGAGAGGAAAAAAAACCAAAAAAAACACTGCGGTGGTGGGTTGACCTTGGCTGGACATCAGGTGACCACCAAGCTGCTCTATCAATTCCCTCCTCAGCAGAACAGGGGGGTTGAAAATAAGATGGCAAACTTCACAGGTCAAGATAAAGGCAGATTAATGAAGCAAAAGTTGTGTGTGGAAGCAAAGGAAACCAAAAGATTTAATTCTCTACTTCCCATCAGCAGGTGATGTCTGGCCACTTCCCAGAAGGGAAATGTTGTACATAATGAATGTTCCCCTTTCTAATTTCTCTTAGGTTTTACTGCTGAGCAGATGCCATATGGTCTGGAATACCCCTTTGGTCAGTTTGGGTCAGCTGTCCTGGCTGTGTCCTCTACCAAGATCTTGAACTTTTAAGGTGTAATGTCGGTAAGCAGAGGGTCTATTTTATCTATTAGTGAAATTGTCTATTTTACCACCAGAGTTCAGGGAGGTGGGGGAGTCTGTCAATCTGCAGGGGCTTCAGGGTAAAGTCAACCTCTAGTTGCTACAGTAATGACATTAGCAGTGGGATAAGCACCCACGAGCTGTACTCACACTTTCACCCAGAGCCATTTACAGCAGAACTGACAAAAGACAGACACCTACAATTATTTCCAGACCTCCTTGAGAGAGCCTGGCTTACAGCCTGTCTAGAAGAGAGACATCCAATGTGTTGCCACAGAGCTTCCTCTGCTGAGATTTGGGATAAGACCCACTCCCTGATAACTGGAAGGTGCAGCTGATCAAAGATAAAGGCCTTTCTTCAGTGAAGATGAAGAGTGACCTGTCTGAAGTCTGCCTGCAGGTGCTGCATCCCCTCTGAGGATCTGATGGCTGCAACTGGTAGTTCAAGCATCAGCACAGTACGTCCTCAGGTGAGATGCTGAATCCCACAAAAGCTCTATATCCTTGCAGCTGCCCAAACCTAGAACCTTGTTTCCCACTCCCAGGGTAGCAGAGCTTCCAACCCCAGCTTGAACAGTCTGTTTGCTTTTCTGAAGAGTACTGCTAACTGATGCCTGAGCTCTGAAGAGCCATGTAAAGGCAGCAGTGGGTTTTTGAGGTTTTTTTGTTGAGGTAGGTCAAGCCTAGTCCAAAATCCTTCACCCAGCCACCTACACTGGATTGTATTTGACAGGTTTCAAGCCAGGACTTCTCCTGCCCTGAGCCACCCCAGGGGTGTTGTGCTGACCATGCTCTGCCTCATTTCCCCCTCGCTGGGCCCTAATTCCAGTTGGAGTGAAGCTCTTGTGTGCTGGTCAGACAGCTCAGGCAGACAGCAGGAGCTAATGCTGTCTGAGTGGTACAGCACATAATGGCCAGTCCATTTATCTCCCAGTTGCTGCAGTTCCAGTAAAACATGACTTTGTTAAATGCCTGGAGCTGGAGAAAGCATCTCCAGCGCTACAGAAAACAGCTCTTTCTAGACAGGTCTTGCTCCTCTCCTAGAAGATCTGCAGTGCTAAGGAGTGCTACAAACCCAGACCTTGCTGCCCACAGACCTCAGCTGTGACTTGTGGCTCTGGGGGGAGACAGGGCAGAGCTCACTCACTCCAGGGCTCTGTGGGGACATGAACAGGCTGAATTCCCCCCAGCAATGACACTTCACAAAGTGGGTTTTTTCAGCCTCAGTGATCTCTTTCCTTCCAGCCTCCTCTCCTTACACCAACACCTGCACGCTGTCCACAAGCAGCAGCGCTCCTTCGGTTTCAAGAAATTACTACTGTAATTAGGCACATGAATATTCATGTACGAGCCAGTGGAGTAGGTGTAGAGGCAGAAGCCACGATTTATAAACGCCTCCTTGCTCTGGAATCACTGTGTGCAGACACTGTTCTCAGGCCTGTCTCCTTCCTACGCCTTGGAGCTAAAAAACACTTATCAGAGACTTACAATAAGGCTTCTAAACATGAGATTTCTTCACAGCCTTTCTTCTGCTACCAAGGTCATTTGCATGAGAACGGCATCTTTAAGCCTCCCATCTGCTCCTTGTTTTGCACCTGTAGTTAATATCTCCCTTTTTCATGGCATATGACTTGCTGGCACGGCACAGGAGGTGATATCTGCTTACAGGAGACCAGTTCCCAATAGAGCCGGAATTACTCCAGTGCACAGAAGGTCTGGAACGAGGCAGCTCTGCTCTGTTTGTTTACCAGCCCCCACACAAGAGGTGGAATGAGAAGCCCAGTCCCAGAGCCACCAGCTGGACTTCACTTTCCAGGCAGGATCCCAACCTGCCTCTCTCTCTTCTGCCCAACTAAAGAGCAGTTTTCCATTATTACGCCCAAGAGGTGGGTACACTCAGCAGCCCCATCTCACCACCTGCTGCTCAGGGGTACCCAAATCTCTCCACAGCTCCAGAAGGGTCACTTTGTCCACAAGCAGCTCCTGATCTCAAGTTTGTGAATCACAGAATATCGTGAATTGGAAGGGATCCACAAGAACCATCCAGTCCAACTCCTGGCCCTGCACAGGGCACCCCAACAATCCCACCTGTCCCTGTGAGCAGTGTCCAAACCCTCCTTGAGTTCTGGCAGCCTTGGGGCCATGACCATTGCCCTGAGGAGTCTGTTCAGTGCCCGACCACTCTTTTCCTGATATCTAGCCTGAACCTCCCCTGACACAGCTCCAGCCATTCCCTGGGATGATCCTGCTGCCACAGCAGCCCACAGAGACCCGACCTGCTCCATCTCAGCAGCTCCATCCCATCCCTTGAACAGCACAGTGTTTGCCAGGGCCTGAGGTCTCCTGCTCCTCCCGAGGGGCTGAAGAGCAGAGCAGCTCCAAGGGCACCCCCACCACACCCCCCCAGCGACAGGGAGCATTGCACAGAACCACAGATGGTTTGGGTTGGAAGAGAACTCTGGAGATCCCCCAGTCCAACCCCAAGGCAGCGGCACCTGGAGCAGGTGACACAGGAACCAGGTGAGTTTGGGATGTGTCCAGAAAGGGAGACTCCACGCCCTCCCTGGACATCCTGTTCCAGAGCTCTGCCAGCCTTTCCCGATGGGTGTGGGCACGGAAAACAGCAGCTGTGTGCGATATCGGCTTCTCTAAGAACAACCACCCTCAGGTACGGCGTCCGCCCGCACTCCTGTCCCTGCTGAGCATCATCCCCGGGGCTGTCCCCTTGGGACCCTGCCGGGGTGGTGCCTCTGCGAGTGATGCTCCGGGGGCTGTGGCTCAGCCAGACGGGCCCACCCAGCCCCGATCTCCCCCCCGCCCCCCCAGGCCCGGCCAAAGCCTGCCGGCCTCTGCCTGGGCGCTCACCCGCGGGTCTCCTGCTCCCCCCGCCCCCGCCTTGCCAGGGGACGCCCCCGCTCACCTGCAGGCGCGAAGAAGAAAACCCGCGGCGTCCACGCCAGTTCGTCTTTCGTTAATTCCATATCGGCCGCGGAGGCGCCCCGCGCGCCGCACCCCCGCTGTCACCGCGCCCGCCGCGCCCCGCCTTTAATAGGTCGCGCCCCGCGCCTGCTCAAAGAGGCGTTACACTGTGGGGCTCCCCCCGCGTCGCAGCGCAGGCGGGCGCGCCGCTTTAAGAGAGGGAACTGTCAGAGCGCCAATGGGCGCTCGCGCCGCGCGCCGCGCCGCCCCCTTCCCCCTCGCGCTCCGCCGCCGCATCCCCGAGCCGGGCGCGCTCCCTTGGCCGGGAGGCGCCTTGGGGGCGTGGCCTCACGGAGGCCCGCCTGCGGGGGGGCTGCGGCGCGGAGGGAAGGAGACGCTGCCCTTCCCGCGGCCATGGCGGGCGGCGGGGCCGCCGGCGGGCCCGCCCGGCCCGTGGGCCCGCGCACCCCCCGCAGCGGTGAGTGAGTGGGGCCCTCCTCCAGCCCTGCCCTGACCTGCCCGCCGGGCCGCACCATGGCTGGGGAAAGGGGGAAGGAAGGAGAGGGGGACCCCGGGTGGAGGGCAATGGGGTGCGGGGGTGGCCGCGGGGGATGCTCGGGGCGTGCGCGGGAATGGTGGGGTGCGTGGTGCTCGCGGGTGCGGTTGACGGGGCCCCGAGTGCTGCAGTGCAGGTCGGGGGGTCCCACGGGGCGTCCCCGCACCGGGGGTTTTTGGTAAATTGGGCGGCGGGGAATGCGCGGACGGAGCGGCTCCCGCGGTGCCGTCCCGGCGCGGTGACCCCGGGCTGTTTGCTGTGCCCGGGGTCTCTGGCACTTCGCTGTTCTCAGCTGTGCTGCGGCCGGAGCGTTGTGTTTAACCTTGTGGGGAGCCCGTGTCCAGTCCCCGCGCGCTCCCCCTGCCTTGGGACCATTCCCTGCTGTGCTCCCAGAGTGGGTTTTGGCAGTGGGGGGGCGAGGGGTTGTCGGGCAGGGGCAGGGGGTCGTCACACAGCTCTGGGGTCACACATCAGTGCTCTCTGTAGCTCTGCCCTTGAGCACATCCCTCCGGCCCAGCTCCTGGCAGAACTCTGAGTGAACTCCTGCTCAAACCCCCCTTGGCTGGTGCCTCTGAAGGAGGGCTGTGATGAACAGAAAGCAGAGTTTTGACAGTGAAAACGTGTGTTGTTATTTGTAATAATTGGGGTGGGTTTTTTATATGGAGACTGCAAACAAAGTCCCCCCAGCCATGTGCAGCCGGCTCTGGTGTGTGTAGAAACCTCTGGCAGGTATCAAATCCCAGCATGCTGCTGCTGCAGAGCAGTTTGGGAATGTGCCCCTGTGGTTGGTAGGAGAAGCAAAGGAATTGCTGCTGTCGGTGAGAAGATGGTTTAGATCTCCTGCTGGGCACTGCTGCTTCAAGTGACCCAGTGTGTGGTTTGTGAAGTGCAGTACAAGGAGGAGGGGCAGGCCTCGTGTGTCACTCACTCACCCAATTTTTCTCCTCTTCCCACAGGAGGAGGATTGCTGGATGAAGGCCAGCCCCAGGACTTGGAGCCAGATGTCAGAGAGAAGCTGGATTCCCTTGTGAGCAGCTCCCACAGCCCCCACAAGTGCCCTTCCCCTCGGCAGCTCCGGGAGGTGCCAAGGTCCCCGCGCAGACATGGCATTTAGGAGGACAGAGGGAATGTCCATCATGCAGGCCTTGGCCATGACTGTGGCAGAGATCCCCGTGTTTGTTTACACGACTTTTGGGCAGGTACAACAAAAGGCTTTCCCGTCAGAGTCCTTGGATTTGCTCTGTGGGGTTGTGAGGGATGGAGGCACAGTGGGGTGGTACTGGGGGTTTGTAATTTGAGGGTTTGGAAGAACTGCTGGGACAGTTTGGGCTGGTGGAAGAAAGTTGCTCAGGGTGGGCTTGGAGAGGGGAGAGAAGCTCTTCCCACATCCCTCCCTGGAACACCTGGGTTCAACCTCTCTCTTCAATCAGAGGTGCTAAAAAAAGACTTTTGTTTGAAAGAAGGGTAACACATTTCCCACTTGTAGCAATGCAACGCTTGGAGCAATAAAGCTCAGCTTTATAAAGCACGCCAGGGTTTCAGAGCTGGATTTGGGTAACCGGGATTGCATCTGCTACGGGCTGTGTGCAAATTTGGCAGCGTGTCGTGGTAAGACTAAGTTCTCCAGGTCCTGTCAAGATGATGCTCCGCAGTTTCTCTGCTGCTGAGTCTCAGTTGCGTGGCAGGCGCTGCCTGTGGGTGGCAGGGGAAAGCCAAGGTATCTCGTGTTTAACACTGTATTTTTTTTTTTCTTTAAAAAAAAAAAAAAAAAAGGTGGTGGAATTGGATTTTTCACTGTTGCTCTTTCCTATCTTTTGTGTTCAAAGTCTGTGTTCTCTCAGCTGAGACTCTCTCCAGGCCTGAGGAAGGTGCTCTTTGCCACAGCCCTCGGGACAGTTGCCTTGGCTCTCGCGGCTCATCAGCTGAAGCGCCGGCGCCGCCGGAAGAAGCAAATCGCTCCCGAGAAATGTGGATTTAAACCAGGAGGGATCACAGTGCCCATCCTGCCAACCAGAAGGGTCTCCTCTGTGAAGAAAGGTCGGCCTTGCACAAAGGGGAAATCCCCCAGTTCCTTCTGTGAGGGTGCTCAGGGAGGCACGGGAAGCTCCTGATGGGAAAGCAAAGGCATTTGTGTAGTGCTTCGATGCAGAATGAAATGAGAGGCCTGAAGCTCAGTGCCATGAACATAAGAGTTTGGGGAGGAAAGGGAGAGACCCTGAGCTCAAAGTCTTTGGGGACAAAAAGGTGGCACTGAGGTTTTCAACAAGGTTTGCAGTTCCTATACCCTTTCCTGCAGACAGCCTGTGGCTTTCCCTGATAATAATGACCAGGCACAGGGTGACCTGGTTGCATATTGATCTGGTGATGCCAATGTGATGTCTCATCCAGGGTCCTGTGCTGAGCTGAGGGGAGGGTGGCCTGGGCCAGGCTGGGGGGTCAGGAGTGTCTGTCCAGCTCTGGCTGGTGGCTCCTGGACCTTGGGCAGCTTCTTTACTTGCTTGATATTTGGAGTAAAACTGGCCAAAGTCCTCAGCAAAGCACTTTAGGGATTAAGGATTTGTTTTTTGAAGCGTATGAAAATCTTTAGGCGTTTTTAATAATAACCAAGGGAGCAATGTCTGTTCTCTGCCTGGCTGGAGGGAAGGTGGAGGAGGTTTTCCTTTGTTCTTTCTACTTGCCTCTTGCTATCCATAAGCAGTGAATTCATTCCTCAGCCTCAGTTTCCCACTGACAGCAGTTTTCTTAGTGTTTCATAGCGAAACAGAGCATAGAGAAGATCTATGACTTATTTTTAGGTATTGGATGCTGCTTTGCCCATTTGCAGTCACACTGGACAGGGTGATGTTCCCCTCCCTGTTCACAGCTCGAATCACCTGAGCCTAAAATCCTGTTTTTGTGTGACCTTCCCAACTGCAGGCTACTCCAGCAGAAGGGTCCAGAGTCCTGGCAGCAAGAGCAATGACACGCTCAGCGGGATTTCCTCCATTGAGCCCAGCAAACATTCCAGTTCCTCCCACAGCCTCGCCTCGGTAAGGACCTTCTTGGCAGGGCTGGGAGATGTGAGTGCACGGACCTGTAACGAGATCACCAAGTCCTTGGGCTTGTGCTGGCCAGTGGAAAATGCCAAAGCCTTTGGAGCAGAACAGGTTACAGTGTAATTGTAGGGCGGGTTCTGTCATTAACCTTGCACTGAGTGTCTGGAGTTCCCTGCGTGAAACCAGAGCAGCAATTTCCTGTGGCCAGGAACTCCAGGGAACATCCCAGTTCTTTGGCCAACAAGGAGCTGCAGGAGGGACTTCCCTGTGGGACATGGGCACAATTCCTTGGGGCTCTCTGTGACCCGCCGAAGGAGTGAGGTTGGGTTGTTGCTGGGTCTCACAGCAATGTTTGCTTCTTTGCTTCCCTCCATGGTGGAGGTTTGGTGGCCCAGCAGCCCCTGTGCCAGCACAGCCCCTCCTGTGCTGGGGCTGATCACAGGTTGCTTTGTTGTCAAAACCAAATTGACTACCAAAATCTGATAGCTCTGTTCAGGAAACAGCACAGGCTGAAAACACAGCCTTGTCGTTCTACCTCCTCCAAAGCCAAAAGCAGCCTATAAATACAGGTAATTCAGGCTTAGCCAGGCAGGAGAAGCCATCAGTGATTATATCCATCTCTTGTGAGATTCAAAACGGAAGTGTTTGTGGCTTCCAGACCTGTTTTACATCCCCATTGCTCAGAGCCTCACGTTCTCTTGGAGCAGCAGGGGCACAGGTGAAGTTCTGTGACGGTGAAACCCTCCCTTGTCATCACCCGGGCTTGGAGGCTGGTTGGCACTGCTGGGGAAGGAGAGGGGAAAAAATCACCCCTTGGAAGGGATCTGTTGGGCACCAGCACCCTCCAGGACGTGCAGCTATTGCTGTATTTAGTTAAAGCATCAAAAGTTGCCAAAATCTGTGCGGTCCCAAGCGTGTCTCCAGCAGGCGGCAGTGCTGGCACAGCCCTGCTCCAGCATTCCCTGGGGAACTGGGATGTGACGGGACTGTGTCAGCCAGGACCAGGCTCTGGCCTCTTTCCCCCTGCAGGGACTTTCACATACATTTAATTCCCCCACGGCTTCTCCATTCCCACACACACTGTCCCAGGTTTTGTACTGCTGAAGTCTGTTTCTCTTTAGATAAAAAGCTATCTAAATTCCTTTTTTCCACTGCTGGTGCCTGGGTGGGGATATTCCCACAGGGAGGGATCTGTTCCCATACCCCCTTCATTGTGTGGGAGCTGAGTCTGTGACACTGTTCTTACTGATTTCATGTTCCTTGATGGACAAACAGCTCATCCCTTGCACAGCTGCAGGTTTTACCTGTGGTCTCATCTGCTTCCTGGGGCTCCTCTCTGCCATCCAGTGCACTGATGATTTGCAATTCTGGATGTCAAAGGGATTTAGTAACACTCCACAGGGATCAGTCAGTGGAGGTGGGGCAAGAATTCATCTGTGAGCTGATTATTGCAGCTTTTTTCTAGTACCAGGCTCAAGTTTCTCTAAGCCACATGCAAACACTGATCACTGATAGTCTTGAACTCAGCACTGTTTTGGGTCAGACTTCAGGAGACATTGATGCCCTGGTGGGAAATTGGACAAAGCTGCCACTTTGCTGTGTGGATTGTAGTGCTCAGCCCTCCCTGGAGAGGGTTTGGTTCCAAAGAGAAGAGCGAGGATTCTCCTTGCCCTCTGGGGATTCCTCAGCTGTAAATTTGCTGAGAATCTGTTCCTTTATTTGGACTGTGGTTGTTTCCCCCCACTTCCAGTGGTTTTTGTACAGACAGCTGGGGCTGACATGAGCTTTCCATCAAAATCCTGGTGCCTTGGTAGGGATTGCTTTGGAGCTTTCCCAGGCTGTCACCTTCATCAGTGCTCTCCTGCTCTTGCTCATCATTGTACAGCTCAAGTTTCCTAATGAAGCTTCAGCATAAATTGGTTGGGAAGGTATTTCCCACACAACTTCCTGTGCTTTCAAAGGCACCATTGTGGTGCTGGGTGGAGAAGGGCAGGAATTCTCACCTTGCCTCCCCTCCTGAGCACGTCTCCCAAGCAGGGCGAGGGCAGTAACCCTTGACATCTCCTCCTTTCCAGGCAAGGGAGCACCAATACAGGGAAGCACAAGGGCAAACGTGGGGAAGGAAAGTGCCTTTTTGTTAAAATTGAACTGTTGGTGGTGTTTGTGTGGTCTTACCATGGCTACCTTTGGAGAGAATTCAGTTTGGTGCCCTCTGCTCCCTCCCTGCAGATGGTGGCTGTCAACTCCTCCAGTCCAACACCCGCAGGAATGTGGGAGGCCCAGGCAATGGGAGATGCTGGAGCCATTGGGGATGCCAGTGCAGAAAGCCTCTATGTTCAAGGTAAACAAGCACAAGGGGGACATCACCCTGGGGGAGTTGTGGGAGTAAGAAAAGGGTGGGAATTGACACAGAGCACCAGCAGCTCAATGTAGAGCTCTGACAGGAAGCTCTCTCATGTTCTCAAACTCAGTCATTTGTTAGTTATAAAAATCCCATCTTCTCCTAAAAATACATTTACCTCTTTTGTCAGTGAGTAATTTACTTCCAAAATACTGTTCTCGAGCAACAGGCCCATCTTGTGCAGAGAACAGCATTTTGGAAGTAACACAGCTGATGTTTTAACTGATTTGGGGATGTTCTCCTCAACTTTAATTAAAAAAAAACATACTGAGAAAGAAATACTTTTATCCTTTCAGGTGGGGAGAGATTTCCCTCTTTGCTGGTTTGTCTGAGTGAGCAAAGACTCATCCTGTATTTCTGTTCCCGAGTGGCCTGGCACTCTCACAGCTGGTATTTGGTTGCATTTTCAGGCATGGAGCTGTTTGAGGAGGCCCTGCAGAAATGGGAACAGGCACTGAGCATCAGGCAGAGGGACAGTGCCAGTACCAGCACCCCTGTGCCCTGGGACAGCAGGAAACAGCAGGAGAGCATATCTGAGAATATTTCAGAGGTAGGTGCCCACTGTTCCCTTGCAGTGGCCAGCTGGGGAACATGCTGAAAGGCCAGCCTGGGTGCTGGAAGGAGTAATTAGTGGGAGGTTAAAAGGACAGCAAATTAAGGGCAGAGTCAGGCCAGACTCTGTTTAAGAGCTGTCTGTATCTGCAGCTTCCTTATGCAATGGGGACTGGGTGTTTTTAATTTCTTTCTCTTTTTGATACGTCTCGCCCCCTCATTCCCCAGCTTTCCTACCCACCTTCCAGCCTCATGTCACTCACTGTCACTCGTGTCCTCCCATGGCAGAGCCTGTGGTAGGAAAAGGCTGGGATGAATTCAGCACTGCTTTGCCTGCCAGTGCTGTCTCTGTCATTTTTTAATGCATTTGAAAGTGGAGAACTTGACGGTCACTGTCACTTCCTGGGGATGAGTCAACTGGGATTTCTGGGAATTCCAGTATTTTAGGACAGCCACTTGCTGTCTTGGACTTGAGGATTATGCAGGGAAGACCTGGGATAAGAGGAGGTTCAACCTAGAATGGCTCAGTGACAGCCACAAAGCTAAAAAGAGCTGCTGTAGCTCAGGACTTTGGAAGTTGATGCACTCTCAAATCTCCAGTTCTCACTGGCAAAAAGTCTTCCCAGTCCCCTGTAAACAGGACGTGGAGTAGTAAGTCTATGGGACATTTGTCTTTTGTGCTGGATGATGTTTATCCAAATCAAATCTGGATTCTGCTGTTGTTGGCTCTCCTTGAAGAGTCCTGTAGGATTTCTAAAACTGCCTTAAAAACCAGTTGATTCCTTATCAAAATAGATTTTGTGCTTCTTGTTAATGCTTCTGTCTTCTGGGTGAGATACTCATGCAAACACAGGGGCTTGAAGGCAGGATACTGTGTAAGTCTTATTTTTCTCCCTTTTTTTTTTTCCTATCCTCCTGTGTTGCTCACAGCAAACTTTGCTTATGCCCAGCACCTTAATCCAAGGACTCTTACTCTGTTATCCAGTTATCCAGTTCTGGATACTCTGTCATATTCAACACAGGTTTCCTGATGGGAGTTCCTCTTGAAATTAGGCTAAAGTCACAAGTCAGGAGAATTAAGTGCTCTGTAACTCATTAAAATACCCGTTTTTCTGGATGGCAGGTTAAAGTTCTTTAGTTCTTTCTTCCTTTTTTAACAGGGAAACAAAATTGTGAAGCTCAAAAGCCAGAGGGTTTGAATAGGCTACATAGAAGCTTCTCTCCCCTGTGCATTATTAGCTGCATTGTAGGATTAATGACTCCTCTCTCTTTTTATTTTTAATCATTTAATCTGCAAACTGTAAATCCCATTTTTACTGAAAATTCCCTCCCGTATTTCGTGCTGTCAATCTGCCCCTGCCCAGCTGGCTAACTAAGGGTGGCATTTCTGTATGTTCAAGGAGGAGTCCCAGAAAAGGGAGTTTGCTGAGAAGCTGGAATCCCTCCTGCACCGAGCCTACCACCTCCAGGAAGAGTTTGGATCCTCACTCCCATCAGACAGCATCCTGCTGGATCTGGGTATGGCACCTGGGGTGGAGATGCATTAAAATGTCAGGGTTTTGTCTGGTTTTACATCTTTTCTGTAAGCCAGGCAATGGAGGAGTGACACAGGGCTGCTCGTGGGGGTGGGAGAGAGCACAGGAGCAGAGAGGAGTGGTAGTCCATGAACTCCAACACATCCAGGTTCTTTCCCTCCTCCAGAGAAGACTTTAATGCTCCCGTTGGCGGACGGATCGCTGCGGCTCCGGACGGACGATGAGGACAGCTCAGCTTCTGAGGATTCCTTCTTCTCTGCAGCAGAGGTGACTTCAGTGCCAGCTGTGTCACAGTCCAGTTGCTTGGAGGGAAGGCACAAAGGCAGCAGAGCCAAACACATCTGGGTAGAGGAAGATGATAAAACTCAGAGCAACAGCCCCAAGCTGGGGGTTCTTGATGGATGTTAGGAAAAGCTTTTTAATTAGGGGGGTGGTGCAGGCTGTTCCAACCAGCACTTCCATGTCATCTTCCTGTCTACTGTAGAAAACACGGTATAACAGCTAGGAAAGTATTGCCATCTAACATAAGGTGACTTGGCTGTGTAAATTTTAGGGGATATTGAGCTGTGTCAGAGCTGAGACAGCTTTTGGTGGGAAAAGAAATAGCTTTGCCTGAAATAATTGTCACTGAAAGACTTTTCTAGCTGAAGATTCTGTGATTCTACACAGCAGGTCTGTCTTGCTTGTGTGCGGTCTCTGAGTATTTGCAAATATTTAACAAGATCATTTTGCTCTCCCCGTGGCTCTTGCCACCTCTGCAGCTCTTTGACTCTCTCCCCTTTGAGGAAATGCCATTCCACCTCTCCAGGCCTGTGGCAGCATATGAAGAAGCCCTGCAGCTGGTGAAGGAAGGGAAGGTCGCCTGCCGGACGCTGAGGTGAGGGGCCAGCTTGTGTAGAGGCTCTTTTGGGCAGTGTCAGCACATCATTTGCCTTTGAGCAGCCCCATTACCAGAGAAACGGGGTCCTAAATTCACAGCATCCTTCCTGCTGGTTTGGACTTTCCAGGGAATTAGCCCCAGATTTTAGGCCATGCATGTTAAGAAAGAGTAATTGTCCCAGGAAATTAGGAATAGGAATGTGACTGTTCTGGGACACTGTTACAGGCATAACCCTGCACTGTAACAGCCTGGCAGAGGTGCTGTGGTTCCCCAGGGAGCTGGACAAAGGGAATGTGGTTTTTCCTTTCTCCTGTCCATAGACTGGGAATTCATTTTTTTTGGTTTTAGGGGACCAATAGTTGGTAGGAACACCAACATCAGGAGTACTGGAATTTATACAATCCTTCCCCTTTCCCTCTAGGACGGAGCTCCTCGGCTGCTACAGTGACCAGGATTTCCTGGCAAAGCTGCACTGTGTCAGGCAGGCATTCCAGGTGAGAACAGCTCCAGGCTCCTGGGTTTCCATGGCATGTGGCAGCATGTTCTCCTCCAGCCTGAACTCTTGTTGCTTAATTCTGTAATCCCATTCTGATCAGTATGATTTGGAAAAAGAGGGGATCCCCTGGTCCCTGTGCCCAACTGGAGTGATGGTTACATGGCCACTGATGCTGGTTTAGTTCTGGGAAGTTAAAGTTCGGGAAATTCAGAGTTGCCCAGAAGCTTTTACTCCCACTTATGAGCTTTCAAATGGGCTGGTGTCAGACCTCTGAGGTGGGGGAGCAAGGTTTCCTTCTTCCCACAGTCCTCTTCTGGCAGTGTATGGAGCCTGAACAGCAGCTTCCAGTATTCTTGACAATTCCAGTCTTTCAACCTAATTTTGAACTCGTGTCCTGGAGAGAGCAGTTTTGTTTTCTAGACTCCAGCTTATTCAAGGTTAACAACACTGGTGTGTGCAGCTTTGCACCGCTTCGAGTCCTGTCCTTTTCCTTCCTCCCAGCTCAGGATCTGTGTGGGAGAAGGTGCTCACACGACTTCTGTGTTCCCTCTGCAGGAGCTGCTGGAGGATGAAAGCAATCAACTGTTTTTTGGGGAGGTTGGGAAGCAGATGGTGATAGGACTGATGACAAAGGCTGAAAAGGTAGGAAGTTTGTGTAAGAACTAAGCTATGTCTTGAGCCGGGGGACACTTGTTCCTCCATCCCAGCCCAGAGTCTGTCCAGTGTGTTGGAAGAAGAAAATTTCATCTGCATGCTGGTGACTTTTGTGATGTTGATGAGAGCTCAAATTGGAGTAGTCAAACTTTGCTGAAATGTGCCCACAGCTGTTGTACCTTCTGAAGTGTTTTGTTTCTCTGCTCTCCCAGAATCCCAAAGCTTTCCTGGAAAGCTACGAGGAGATGCTGCGTTATGCACTGAGACAAGAGACCTGGCCGACTACTCAGCAGGAGCTGGAGGGAAGAGGGGTTGGTAAAGACATTATCTTTGCAGAGTTGCAGAGGAGTTGGAAGATAATTGTTGAGAGGTTGTGGACACCCCATTCCTGGAGGTGTTCAAGGCCAGGGCTGGATGGGGCTCTGAGTAACCTGGTCTAGTGGAAGGTGTCCCTGCCCATGGCAGGGGATGGAACTGGATGATCTTTAAGGTCCCTTCCAACCCAAACCATTCTGTGATTCTGTGGTAAATGGATATGTAGGAATGGCCTAGGAATGAAAGAGCTGAAATATGATTACATTGACTTCAGCTACGTTTTGTTGCTCCAAACCAAAAGCGTAAAGTCTCTTTTTTTTTTAAACCTGTTCCCTTTACAGACTGTTCTGCTCCCTTGACAGGTGGTGTGCATGAGTTTCTTTGATATTGTGCTGGACTTCATCCTCATGGATGCTTTTGAGGACCTGGAGAACCCGCCCTCCTCCGTGCTGGCCGTGCTGCGCAACCGCTGGCTCTCCGACAGCTTCAAGGAGACGGTGTGTGAAACAGGGAGTCCTTGTGCTGAGCCCTGAGATCTCAGTGACAGAGCTAGAAAAGAGCAAAACCTCGTCTGCTTTGGCTGGGCTGAATTCTCTCTTTGTAAATGCCATGCTTTCCTCGAGCTCTGAACAGCCATCTTCTGCTACATGGAAATTGTTCACAGGAAAGCCTTCCTTGTTTTGGAAGCATCTCGTTGGCAACAAGACTTTATTGCTCTGGGGCCCTTTATCAGTGATGCCATGGAGATGTTAAAAGATGACAACACATATTTTTATGAATGAGAGTAAGAGGATCAAAGTGTAGGGAAAGATACGTGTGTTAGCACGTGGCCATTCATTCTGGTGGTACCTCACCAGACACTGATGCTCAAATTGCAGTGATTCTCTCTAGTCCTGGCCCCCAGCTGCATATTTAAGTTTGATAGAGTGAGAATAAGATGGTTGGGAGGCACCTTTTAACAGCTGTCTGTTTACAGTGGATTGTGGGCTGTTGGGCAACTGTGTCAGATCATATTAGAAATTTAAAAAGCCCTTCGGCTTCTCTGGAATGGATCTGGAGTGGCTAAATCTGCTTCCAGTTTGCTTCACTTTTGTCATTTTAAGAGTTGTTGGCACAAAAGGGCCACTGCTTTGATGTTTTGACAGCAATGTGTTGGTAAACTTTAGGGTTTTTTAATATAATCCCAGTAACTGATAGTCTTTGTTTATTGTAGGCTCTGGCAACTGCCTGCTGGTCAGTTCTGAAAGCAAAAAGGAGGCTTCTGATGGTAAGCAAAATGAATTAAAAGGGAAAGAATCTAATGTATTTGAAGGTGAAAGGAGAACACCCAGATCTTGACAAAATATAAAATCTTAAGTGGTAGAAGACTGAACTGAGTCACATTCTTTGTGATGCTTTAGAGCACTGGGGTCCTGTTGTCACTGCTCCACTGCCATGCCAGTATTTTACTCTGTCAGATGGAGTTTATTCTCCCTTTTTCTTAATGTGAGCAAGAAAGGTTCACATTCTCCACTTCTTCTCTCCCCAGCACTGATCCTGACTAGTTATTACTTGATGAGTTTAACTTAAATCTGTGACTTTCTGAAGTATCACAGTGGATGAGTTCATAGACCTGGGGAACAGGAAGCTGCAACTTCACAACTTCAGTTCTGCCACAGGATCTGTGGCCTCTGGCAGGTTTTCAGCTCGATCCCACAGCCAGCTGGTACCACAGCTCACCCTGTGAGGTGGCACAAAGAGAAGTGAGAGTGTTGGAAGCTAAGCTGGTGTTGTCCTGCAGTAGCTCTGTTTTGGATATTTACATCTCCTTCCCTGGCTTGGGCTGGAGATTTTAAATAGAGGCTATAAAGACTGGCTGGTGGTTGCTTTTCATTTTCTTCTCTTTATTTTGCTCCTGAAATAGTAGTTTAAAAACATGAAGATAGTAATCCTTCAGGGGATCTAAAAGATAAATTTAGTTCTGCAGGAAGAGATGTTCCTAATAGCTCTGAACTTCACTTACTGAAGTTACTTCAGTTACTGAAGTTCAGTGCTTTCTGGCAGGGAGTTTGGTAGCTGATATGGAATAAGCTGCTAATTCTGTCTGAGAATGAAGACCAACCAATTCTTGCCTTCCCTGTGGCAGGTACCAGATGGCTTTATCTCTCATTTCTACTCCGTATCGGAGCATGTCAGTCCTGTTCTAGCCTTTGGTTTTCTGGGGCCCAAGCAGCAGCTCTCTGAAGTCTGCAGTTTCTTCAAGGTAAGGTGGCTTTTCTTTACCTGGGCTGTGTGGGACTCCTGTCTGCTGGCTTAGAGCTGCAGGTGTGTGTTCTTGGTGACTGATGTGGCATTAAGAAACTCGGCTCTGTACAAAAGCCTTTTGAAAGTCACTTGGTTTTGAGATGCAGATTGCTGAATTGAGATTGATAAGGATTCCCAGCAGAATTTACTATAGCTGACAGCAAAACTGTGTGATGAGATCAATTTATATCATCAGTATTGGAAAAGATTGTGGTTGCATATGCTGAAAGAATATTTTGTCTAAGAGTGCAGGGGATCTTACAAGTTTTGTATTTGATCTTAAAGCCTGAATTGTCTTGTTCTGGTTGATAGTGTTAGGAGACGTGAGACATGAGAACGTGTTGCATCCATTAAATGTTTGCATGGATATTGCCATGGCCATCAGCATTGCTTTCCTGGCTTCAGGAGCTCTGCTGTCCTGTTCCAGGGGCATGAGGGGATCTATCCACCAGAGTAATCCCCAGCCCGATGCAGGTCTTTGCTTGGATGGCAGATGTGCAGAATTCCTTATGGGGTTCTCTGCTTGCTGCAGTCCAGGCAGCCGGTGCTGGCAGGTGGAAGGAGGTCCCCTGACTGTAAACCTTCCCTTTTTTTTTGCAGCATCAGATAGTGCAGTATCTGAAGGACATGTTTGATTTCGACAACGTGAGGTACACGACGGTGCAGCTGCTGGCAGAAGACATTCTGCAGCTGTCGCGGCGGCGCAGCGAGATCCTCCTGGGATACCTGGGCACCGAGAGCTCCCCGGAGATGAACGGCACGCTCCCTGGGGAAACAGAGCCACTCAAGGAGGAGCTCATCTGATGTCAGGGGAGGAAAACACTTTTTGTACAAGGACCTTTTTTCCCCCCAGAGGTGGATAAAACTACCTGCAGCATGCAGCGGTGGCAGCAAGACTGTCTCAACACACCTGGCGGGACCTTCTGCTTTTTGTAGCCAGTAGTGTTTGCTGGGATGGATCCGGGACCACTTGCCAGCTTATGGTTTGAATTTCTTCTTTGTTCCACCTTCCTGTTCTTTTTATTATTATTACTTTTAATGTGTCATATATACATTGTGTCCTGAACTGCCCGGGCCCAGATTTTTGCCCATTCTCTTGAATAGGGCAAATACACGTTCCTGTTTTGCCTGTGTGTGTTTTCTGGGAGGTAATTCCTGATGTTTACGGTGTGGGAACAGGAATGTCATTAGTAAATTCTCCACTTGACCACTAGCTTCTCAAGGAGGCTTTGCTTGCTTTGGGATTTTATTACTGGTCCTCTCTGCTGTGTTCCTACAGACGTTAATTACTGCTGATTTTTACTTTCCCTGTGTTTAACACATGCAATGTGACTGGTGAAAATTTCTTTCCTGGGGAGGAAGAAATAGTTCTGTAAAGCACTGAAGCAAAATGCAGTCTGAAGCTCTAGGGAAACTGGTCTGTTCCCTTGGTGTTGCTGCTCTTTGCAGACCAGATGACGGGGTCTGTGCTGTGGTAATCTTTGCTTAGGAGGTTGCTGAGGTCTGTGTTTGCCCCCAGGGCAAGTTAGTGTGAGGAGGGGATTTGCATCCTGCCTGTGCATGCACAAAGTGTTTACCATCCATCGAAGTGCCTTGCTGGATTTCAGAATGAGCCAGCAGCAGGTTTTTGCTGGGTAGGAGGTGTGGGGTGTGTGCAGGAGGGAAACAGTGTAATGTGGTGCCTATTGCTGTTATGCACAAGGTGGTCAGAGGTGTAGAGGTTGGATGTGTGCACAAAAGGGGTTGTGTGTGCAGATAGTTGGAGAGCTGGGGTCAAGCTTCTAGAGAGGAAATGACTCTTGATAGTCTGTCAGTCCTAACAAACAGAGTTTTGGGTAATGATGGAGAGTGTGTGGGTGTATGATGTGGTTCTGCTGGGGTTGGGTCTCCTCAAATGCTGTGGTCCTGACTGCATGGCCAGCACCTGGAATCTGCCTGCTTTGGGATGGGAGCTGAGTTGGATACTCGTGTGGGACAGCAGCAGTGGAGTGTGCTGGACTTGCAGAATCATAGAATATGCTGAGTTGGAAGGGACTCATCAGGATCATCAAGTCCACCCCCTTGGCCCTGCACAGGACACCCCAAGAATCCCATCCTGTGCCTGAGAGCGTTGTCCAAACGCTCCTTGGACTCAGACAGGCTTGGTGCTGTGACCACTTCTCTGGGGAGCCTGTTCCAATGCCCAACCTCCCTGTGGGGGAAGAACCTTTTCCTGATACCCAACCTAAACCTCTCCTGACTCAGCTTCATGCTGTTGACTTGAGGCAAGCCTGGCTTTTGTGTGAGGTTTGCAGTGATTTGCTGAGTCCTCTGAATGCAGTGTCACAGGTGAAGTTGAGGTCCAGCCTTGCTTTCTCCTATTTCAGTCTGCATAAAGCTCCAAGTCCCACCCTTGGAATGGGGAGGTCTTCAGGACTTCCACAAAAACATGAGCTTCACTGTTTTTGTTCCAGACTGACTGGGTGCCCCTTGTTCTGTTCCAGGTAAAAGACACAAGTCTTATCCAGCCATATTTTTGCAAGGGGAAAAAAATAAATATGTAAGAATCTGGAATTTCCATATTAGTGGAAGGTCAGTGCATGGGCTTGGAGAATACAAATCTCTTGTCTCTCTTCAGATATCCAGTGTGGATTCTGCTGGTAAAAGCAGGTAGGAAGTAAACAGAGAAAAAAGTAAACAGGAGGATGTAAAAGGAGCAGATAAATGTGCTGTGCCATGTGCTCTGGGGTCACCCTGCTTGAGCAGGGAGGTGGGACCAGATGACCCACTGTGGTCCCTTCCAACCTGACACATTCTGTGGTTCCCTGAAATGTTCCTGAGATGTTTGCAAGGGGGTAAGTGTAGAGCACGTAACATCTGGTGCTCTGTAAGCACATCAGGCTGATGTGGCTTATCCTGCAAACCAGATTAATGCAATAAACAGGGCAATGCTGAGGCAGAAATGAGGAGCAGCTGCCCAAAGTGAGGCTGCATGGAACAAACTGTTGTGAGAAGGATTTAAGAGACAGCAGTTGAAACTAGGAAAGGTCTCTGAGGTGTCTTGCTCCTGCCAGTGTGCAGGAAGGGGAGAAACAGAGGATATTGTATTAGCACGACACGCCTGCTACATGTAAACTGTGATTCAAAAGGATGGTATATTCTGAAAGCAAGTTACTTTGCAGGAAAAAAAAATGGTTATTGTGCTTTGTGCTCTTGTATGGCTGGTTTAGAAGAAAGAGTCACTTCAGCAGCTTTTGTACAGTGGTTAAAAAGATGCTAAATGTGAAGATTAATGTAACAAGACGGATTGTGATTCTAAACAATCAGTGCTGTTAAATGCTCATTTTTAGAGTTGTTTTATGTGTATTTATTTACTGTTTTGAGTGTCTTTTGGCCTCAGTGCTCGGGCAGCCTGCCTGCTTTGTGTACAGACAAGAACACTGGCTGCTGACTTTGGGCTTTCTGCAGCCTTGCAGGAAAGGAGGCTGAAACAGGGTCCCCCTGAAGCAAACACTAACTTGCACTGTGGCTTTTTAAGCTGAGAAATTGTAAATTCCTAATCAATCCAATGAACAAAGACTGTTTTATTACAGCTTGATGCTTTTCTTTTCCTTAGCCTTTTTTGCAAGTAGGGCACTGCTGCCCTCCCAGTGAAGGTAAATAGGAATCTGCCTCGGAAACTTCACTTCTTGAGCATTGAGTTCTCCCTCTCTGCCCACAACACTGACTGGGCCCTGCCCCAACCAAGGCTGTCTGCCCAGACAGACTGGTTTTATCTTTACTGGGATGGATGTTTCATTTCATTGCTGCTCTTTGTCCCTCCCCAGTCCCAGTGTAGCTTGAGAGGAAAGGCAGAAAGGGATTCGCAGGAATTGCAAGGACCAGTGGGTTCAGAGGAGTTATTCCTATGGAAGAAGCTCTCCTGACCTCAGGAGTGGTGGTCAGTGACCTGCTGTGTTCAGCTCCTTTGGATCCAACCCTGAGCAGGGGCTTGGCTGCTTCCACTGATCCCAGAGCAGGGCTCAGCCCACATGGTGACTGTCTCGGACTCACCTGTTTTGCTGGGTAGAGTAAAAGGTTATGTCAGAACACCTGCCTGCCCTCTGGCTTCCTGACATCCCTAGAAAATCCTTTCCCCAGCATATTGTGTTTAGCAAAGGAAATTCTTCAGCATTAGTAGCAGAGATACATATTCAGGTAGAATCCCTAGAGATGAGACATTTGCCTTTTTATGATGAACCCTTATTCTCAAGGGGTTAAATCAGTCTGGGCTGACACTTGCAAGATTTTAACACTGATGGGGATTTAAAGTGGCTTAGCAGCTCTGAAATAAAATCCCTCAGTAGTTTCTGATGCTTAAACAGAATTTAAAATATGCATGACTTTCATTTTTTATGTGGAGGTTGTAACAAGCTTCACCAGTGGTTAAAGTACATACTCAGTACTTTAGTATGTATGTAGAGACTACGCCAAATGGCTTTAGGAGGGTCTTTAGGATCTTTAAAGCACATTAATAAAAAATTATGAGGAAAAATCTGCCTTGTATCTACAAGATCAGTGTGGCTTTGAAGAGCATGACTTGTGCTGTCTCATACAGGGAGGTGGGAAAGCAGGATTTTATTTACCCCTCTTCAGTAGAACATTCCTCTGCCATATCTGAAACTAATGAATGTAAACTTGTGCCTATTTTTTTGTTGATTTCCTAAAGGTGTAAAAATCTGTTCTTGTTTTGCTTCTATCTTTTTTTTCTTTGCAGCTAATTTTTTTTTAATATCTTTAATCTTAGGATGTGGGCATTACAAGTCAAATAAAACTTTCCTTCATTGATTGTGGTTTTTGTTTCTAAATTTCCTAGCAACACGTGCTAGAAACTTAGTCTTTGGTTTCTAACTTAGGTGACAATTGTGGTGACACCTTTGGTGCTAGTGATGGTATAGAACAAGGTTTGCTCTTCCCAGAGTTAAAATTATGAACTTAAAGGGTTTTGATGTAAACTTAAAGGGTTTGTTTGCATGGGGAGTTTTCCATGGGTCTACTGACACATCCATAGACTAAGCAGGCTATAAAATAAACAAAACAGCTCCTGTGCTTTGAGCAGTGGTTGGAAACTATGGGGTTTCATTTTTCAGATTTTTCTGTGGTGGTTTGGCTGTGTTGGGGTGTGGTGTGTGTAGAGTAGCAGGCTGTGATGAAGTGATAACAGGAATCCCAGTGAGGAGCAGAACCTCTTAAACATTGTCCCAGGTTCTTGTAGCACTTATCAGCCCCCCAAACTGCATGAGAGAAACCCAGAGCAAAGCCTGTGGGTTGGTATCAGAGGGGCCCATCTGCTGAGCAATGCAAGAAACTCATCTTCTCGCTCTTCTGAGGCAATTACAGTAGATTTAAATACTCTAATTTTCAGACGATACAGAAACCAGAGTGAATCAGATAGGCTGTTTCTTCCACAGTGATTAAAATTTCATCCCTGTGCTTAAAAATAAAAAAAACCCCTGAGCCTCTGTTGGCATTAATGCAAGCCTGTCATGAACTCTGATGTATGCAAATAAAATGTTCCCGGAGTAGGAAAATTTTTGTCTCGCGCCACACCCTGATCATTAGTTGAAAGAGTTAAAAGGAGTTTATCTCAGTTTCCATGGAGTCAGACTCCACACTCATTACAGCTCTGGAGCAGCTCTGTGCTTTCTTATGCTGAGGAGCAGAGCAAAGGCTGCTCCTGTGTATTGACACTTTTTTCTCCTGTTCAGGAAGGAGTGGGTGAATACAGCAATGAAGCCCACAATTTTCAGTACTTGTCATGGTACATAGATCAAATGTAATCCACTCTGCCAGCATAACTCTACATTCAATAGCTTGGAAAGGAGGAGATTTATTTAACCTGAATAATGAAAGCAGTAAATCACTCATGCTCCCTCATAGCAGTCTTCTGTGATGAACTGAGCTCCTGCAGTAAATATTTGCTCTTTCTTTCCAAATAATAAGACTTTAATGCTGTTTTTTCTTCTTGCAATGCCAAGGAGAGTGTCAGGTTGAAGAGCCTGTTGAGTTTAATGGGATACAATCATAATTGAAGCAGGTATATTACAACTGCAGGAAAAGGAGATTTCTCTGTGTTCTGAAATCTTACTTTAAGGCATAGAAATCATGGTCCATGTGCTTTCCTGACACAAATTAAAGGCGTGACCCTGTGCCTGTGTTTATCACTTCTTGCATATTTATTTTTCTGTAAGTTTTATTTTTTTAAATTGAATTAACTTTGGTGGTTTGGTCTGAAGGTGGATTTGCCTTCCGAAAGCTTTTCTGTGCAATGCTGCTCGTGTACCTCACTTTTGCAGTGCTGCACTGTCTGTGTCCTGCTTTTCCTCAGGCTCCCCAGGTAAGTTTTACCTCTGGGGTCACATATGGGAATATCCCTTTGGCTTGGTCTTCAAAGCGGGTGATTTCAGTAGTTAAAGGTATTTGGGGACCAAAAAAAGGTGTCACCTGGACCATGTGTTGCCTGGCCTTTGCAGAACCTTTAAGGGATGTACCTGATTTTCTTCCAGGGCTTAGATAGTAGGAAGAAATTCTTCCCTGTGAGGGTGGTGAGAACCTGGCACAGGTTGCCCAGAGAAGCTGTGGCTGCCCC